AATTGAATGGTGGAGTGGGAAAGCTGATGAAAGGTGGGCAGAAGGAAGGAAAGCAGTTACAGGTGGGTGTCATGTAATGAGATGCCTTTTTAGTACACATCCAGCCAATATTTGAATTGGTGCTGTCCTTCACAATTACCTTGAGAACACCTATCTGTATTCCAGGGATGTTGCCACTGCTCAAAACATCTTGGGTACTGCTCTCACAGATTTTTCTTTTTAGTCTTTAAAGCATGATTATACAGTTACTATCCCTTCGTAATGATGACATTGCTTCTGTCACTGTGCATGTTTGTAAATGGACAAAAGAAATATCACTCCATGCATCAATGTCTCCCCACATTGATGTCTTTATTTACTTTTCACATCTTCTCTGAATATTTGGAGGACTACTTTGTGGAGGGAACAATATGAATGTAGCTCTCTGCGTATAACTGATCAGTTCTAGATATCTACTCATGGAAACCAGGGCACGCAATTAAGATCAAAGTCTTTCTCATAAAGTGATTCTGCTAGGACATTGACAAAAGACAAAGACAGTACAGGTACCAGGTAAAACTCCACAGAGAATACCTTGTCACAATAGTAACAAATGTTGTTTGGGTTTATTTGATGGAACACAGGTGTTGCTTTGATATACAGAACACTTTGCAGTGGTATTTACTATAATGTGATTTTATCTGTTTTCTTTCTTTTTTTGGATGCAGGTTGAACGGAGGAGGAATGTTAGTGAAAGTCTCAGTTAATTCATCTGGCATTTGGAAATACATGTGATTTCCCTCAATATATCATTCTGTCAACATGTATTTATTGGCCATACTGTGTGTTAGGCCTATTATTAGATATTCAGGAATCTGACATATAAGATAGGTCTGAATCTTACCCTGTTGGTGCATATATACAACATTAAAGACTGGCAAGTTATTAAGGCATGATTCAAGAAACTGAGACTGTACTTATGGAGGTGTATTATAGAATATAGGGGTCTGATGTGGCTTCTTTAAAAAGTGGGAGAGTGGCAGTTAAGAAGATAAAAGGTGCAAAAAGGGGGCCCTCCCTGGTGGTGCAGTGGGTTAAAGCACAGCACTAAGAAGCTTACGCCACCTTCGCATGAGTTCGATCCCGCCTGCCCCGGAGGTGACCACATGGTGCAGCAGACCTCTCCTGACTTGCCCGCTGCTCCCCTCAGCAGTGTACTTCATTGATCTGACTGTTCTGCTCCCAACTCTGTCTCTGGTGGGTTCTCTTATCCTCCGCATCTCTGTCCTGTACCCCAGTTCTTTATGAATAAATAAATAAAATCTTTAAAAAAAGGTGTAAAAAGAACATTTTAGATAGAGAGAAGGGCAGATTTCACTTAAGCCTGGAAGAGTTCAGCATGGCATGACTGAGGTGAGAGAAGTTCAGTGAGGTTACCAGGTAGAGTGATAGAATAAGAATGATATAAAATGGGGATGGTGAACAGATCACAGGCAGGTCTAAATAAAGTTTTTGTTAAAGAAATTTGAAAGGTCCCTAAAAACCAGAGGAAGTCCTGGGGGGTTTATAAAATAGGAATAATAAGATTATATTTATATTGAAAAAAGATTATTTCATCTGTCTTATGTAGACTGGATGGGGTGGGGAAAACATGGAGGCAAGGAAGCAAGTGAGAAAGAAGTTGCTGCCATATTCAGGCAGAAGGCTAATGGCTTTGGCTGGGTTCATGTAATGACCTGGGGCTATAACCAATATCCAGGCATAGGGACTCGTTAGGGATAATTTAATAACGTCCTAATAAAGTTGCTTGAAAAACTATAATGGGGGGCCCAGGATACCCCCAGAAATAGAGGTGATTTGGGCCAGCACAGGTAACGAAGTTCCTGCCCCTTCACAGGTCAGAGTTAGGGAGCTGTCCACACAGCTGGTGCTGAATAGCTGAAGCCAGGCTCTGTCTAAGGACGCTTCATGGAATGGGGGAAGCTGACACAAGGTACTAACAAATACCCCAGAGTTGGGAGGAGGGGAATTGATTTTTCTTTGTCTTTTATCCTCTTTCCCTTGTTTATGTTTACCCCCTCTACCTTCTCCTTCCTCCCCTTTTCATTTCCTGGCCACCCTGGCAGTTACAGCTCACTCTCTCTGAAAGACAGAGGGAAGAATGTGCCTTTTACTCTTCCATTAGTGACTTCCTTTAAAAAGAATCTACAGAGCACCGATGACAACAAATTCATAAGAACCTTCACCCTCTCTTAAGGTTGGATGACTGGTTATTATTGCTAAATTGGCCATCCCAATCTCTGTTGAAGAGGGGAGATTTATTGTTATATTTATTAGTAGTAGTTATTACCGACTAAGCATTTACTGTGGGCCAGACAGTTCACTAAGCCCTTAACTTCTCCAAGCCTACGAGGTAGACTTTATTATCTTTGTTTTATAGAAAATGGCTTGATTTGGAAGGTCAGTGGTTGTGATTATGCTATTTATTCAATAAATTATCTGAAACTACATGCATGAGAGATAAGGATAAAGGACTAGGGAAATAAAACTTGCTGATATCTACTTATATACAGATGCTTTTGATAGTCTTTTGATTTTGTCTCATAACAATCCTGTGAGGTTGTACTTTACACTATACTCATTTTACAGATGTGATACTGAGGCTCAGGCAGGCTCTGTGATTGGCAGAGGTCATACAACTAATAAATTGCTGTGCCATTTTAAACCTGGGTCTCTCTGTTTCTAAAGCCTCTGTGCTGCCCCTCCCTGGTGGCACAGGGGCTAAATAACGATTAAGTTATTGCCAGCTACTGTGTCACGAGTTGGATCCCTGGCCAGGGAGCTGAACTACAACACATGGTGCAGCAGATCTCTCCAGTCTCGCCCGCTGCTCCCTTCAGGATCTGCCTTTTCTGTTCCCCACTCTGTCTGCGGTAAATCCTCTTACCCCTCTCCTGCACCTATGGCCTGTACCCCAGTTTTCCCCCCTCTCCTGCACCTATGGCCTGTACCCCAGTTCTAGTATGCATACAGAAATAAAAACAAATCTTTAAAAAAATAAAGCCTATGTGCTTTCATTCATAGTACTCCTTTAGTCTGATGGGCCAGTCTCAGCTGAAGTCTAGCTGGATTTTAGAAAGTGAAAGCTGCCTTATCTCCTGCAGTTCCATTTGCCTCTGGGTCTTGATGCCTCTTATAGTACCCCTTGCTCTGAGAGCAGCTTTCTGCCTCTAAGCATGCCAGTGGCGTGCTGGTACGTGGGGGCATTGTGTGGTCTGTAATTGTACACTTAATAGGTCACTAGACATCATCAAACCAAGCTGGCCTTTGTCTGAATTCCCACTGGACCATTTGGTCTCAGTATCAATATTGAAAATGTCAGTCTGGTAAACAGCCTTTAACAAGGAGGAGGGAGCCTGAGAACAAAGTCTCCTTCAAGAGAAACTCTAGCGGATGGGAGTGAACAGAGTCAACATCTTACTAGCTTTAAATCCCCTGGAGTGACTATGAAAGAGAGAAGACTTGCTGGTTTGAGGAGAAAAAAATCCCTTTGATTCATCTGAATTAATTTCACATCTCCCGGGAGGGAGGGCTCTGGCATTACCCTTCTGTACTCTGCCCCCCTCACACGGCCCCCACACTAAGGAAGGACAAAAGCCTTCAGTGTGCAGTGGGGAGTGTCCTCACTACCCCTTCCTTCCCTTTAATTTAATCCATCTGTCCCGGGGGTGCTGGGCCTCGGGATATCATAGGGTCTTGGTCTTTAACCCACACACATCTGAGGAGTGGGAAGCAGGTGCTTACAGGGAGGACAGTGGCTTCTTCCTATAGCAGCGTGGCTCAAGTTATACACTTTTGCAAGCAGCAGGCTCCATAATGCTGGAAAATTTGAGTCCCGGCATTATGCCAACAAAGCTGCAAGCAGCTGAAATCACGGTCCATGTCACTGTGACCTTTGTCCTCACCTTGCGAAGGTGGCCCTCCAGGACAGCTTTCGGAGGCTGCTCTGGATGGTTGGGCTTGTCATTTAGCCTGTAAAGATAGCTTTCCCCTCAGATCAATTTACCTGTCCCCTTTATAGAAGTGAACTCTCCCATCACCTCCTGTTGGGCTTTTGGTTGGGAGCAGCTCAGCACCAGCCATCAAGAGTTCGTGTGACACAACAGCGCTTGGCTGGATCATGTTTGCGCCAAGGCTGCCCACCTCAGGCCGACTGTAGGTGGCAGGCTGGTGCCATCTTGGGAGACAAGGGGCAGCTGGGCTCAGCGTTCAGCTCCACCTCAGAATCACAGGGAATTAATCTTCTAGTCAAATCTGCAGTTTAATGGAGAGGAGACTGAGGGGCCCAGAGAAGTTCCAGGTCACATGGGTCAGTAGTGTAGATCCAAATAGGAACCAGAAACCTGGTAGAAGATGGTAGAAACCATCTTCATCAAGCTGCCCGGGGGACTGGCTCAGAAGACTGGACTTGAGTCCACTGGGGCACCAGTCCTCACTCTGATACCAACTTCCTGGTATTTCACCTTTTATTTATCATTTTATTGCCTTGTAAAAGGGCAGGGTGAGTAAATATGATAAGGACTATGCTATCTATGCCCTGGGTTTTGTTGTGGCTAATAAGGAAAAAATAAAATGTCAAATGGGTGTGTGAAGCAAAATTCCATTAAGAGGAAATGCTGTATACATAGAAAGCCTGATGATTACTTGGGAGTAATAAGAATTGTTCAATTTCATTTCTTCCTGCAGCAACTAGAGGAGGCAGCCAATATGTTCAAGTTAGGGATGTGGGAGGTGAGTGTGCATTAGCGCTGCCATTCTTAGAGAAACTTGGGCTCCCTATCAGCCTGCAGGAAGATGCGTGCATGTGTATGCACGTGTGTGTGTGTGTGTGTGTGCATCTGCATCTATCTGTGTCTCTTGATGTGTGTCTTGCACAGAGTGGACGGGGAGGAAGACTTGAGTCTCTTCTGTATTCTGTCTGATGGGGGAAAAGGGAGTGAGGGGGATGGGAGGAGGCCCACCTGTCAGTCACATCGAGGAGAGGCAGCACGGTCCACTGCCACAGGCTCAAGCCTTCATTGGTGGCCACTTGCCAGACCATCCTGCTTTGCTCCTTCCCAGTTTTGTTCTCCACCAGCACCAAGGATACATTTCCCCTCAAGACTCCACGGATGAGCCAGGACATTCGGAGCTGCAAGGAGAGAAGCAGCAGAAGGACATGATGTGGAGAGGAAATCTCAGGCCCCCTTCCTGGAACTCTTGACTGAAGCCTAAAGGACTTCGCTGGGGACTCTGCAGAGGCTCCCAGGTGCAGAGCTGAATGCACACTGTCCTCGCTTGCTGTCTCCCACAGTGGCTACCACTGAGGTTCTAGGAGCTGGGCAGGGCCAAGTAACGGGCAACTTGGAGCCCTGTTCAGGGTGATGGTACCATCCTACATCTTACGAGGTTCTGCCTTTGAGCTGAAACCAAGATCAAGGGGGTATTCCATGAACTTCCTCAAGAGGACCCAAAGATTCTAGTTGATGGCCCCAATTCACCCTGTGACCTTGTTCGAGTGAAACTGTGACTCAATTTCTTTTAATGATTTAGGTGATCATTGATATTTATTCCTTTCCCAAAGACTTTAATGATCTCACTTGAAGGGGACCCTGACAGGCACAGCTAACTCGAGACCCCAGGAGGTCATTAGTGGGTCAAGGTGTGACAAAAATATATACATCACTATCTTTTAATATGGTTGACTTTCAGAATGAGGACATCCACTTTGCCAAAAGGAAGGGCAATTTTATGTTTTCACTGTGTCTTTATTAAGTGTTTCAGTGGCACTGTTCCTTAGGCATATGAAAGGGAACTGGAACTAATATTTCTAGGAAAGTTTAAGCAGTCATAGTCAGAGGCCGCATATACTATAAACAAGGCCTTTGATGTTTGCATTTAAAACAGTAAAGGTTGTATACATTTGATAGAAATACACCATAAACAACATTTAAAACTTAGGACAATGATAGCGTATCACTGCCTCCCAGATTCCTCTTCAGATCCTATAATAAAAATGACTATTGTAAAAAGGGAAGGTAAAAGATGGCAAGCTGGAATTTTTTATCAGTGATGGTGGGACCATTTTTCTTTGATTCTCATTGCTCAGATACATTTCTCTGCAAATCACCACTTCTTTGTCTCCCAATCTGAGCTCATGGCTGCCTCACGATTTGATCAAAGGTGTTACACACCAGGAAACCAGCCTTCCCCCTCAGTTGCGTGTGACCTCTTCACTAAGGAGGCCACACCTAGCACAGCGGGGCCTGGCTGCTGTTCTACTTCTGAGAGCCAGAGCCTGCTAAGCTCTCAGGGTCTGTAACAGCACCTTCCATAGCTACCTTTCCCAGTTCCCCAAGTCCACCGTAGCATATACTGGTTCCCACTGAGACCTCCTAAGGTAATTTCACAGATTTGATAACTGTATTTTTTCTGGCTACATTGGGCTTTCTTGAGCAGTCCAGAGGCCAGAACTGGAAGCTTTAATCCAACCTTCTACTAATGAAACCCTCCTTGACCCTGCCCTGCTGTGCTCAACCTGGGGTAATGCTTGCCACCTGCTCTCACAGAATATTGCTGATTTGGATTTCTGAGAAATCTGACCACTGGCAAACCTCAATGCCCTGGGTGGCTGGTGGTACTTACTCACCCACATTTGATTTCCAAAGACACAGAGCTCAAAGGGCATCTCAAATTCTTCCTCAAACACAAACACTGTCAACTCCTGATCCATGATTTTGATTTCTACTTTGCTGATAAAGATTTACTGTTTCAGAAGCAATCTCCTTCAGTTCCTCCTCCTCCTCTCTTTTGTAGCATGTCCATTTATCCACCTTCTCTCTTCCTTTACTGGCTTCAGGAACATGTATCTATATTTTTAGATATTAAGCTCTTTTTGTTTCCCTCCCGTAGACCTTGCTCTCTCAATAACTGTCCTTCACTCTCTAGCACCTTCAGTATCTCTCTACTTCCGACTCCTCTGTCTGCAAATGAGATCAGGTTTTACCCACCCTGGAATCGTGTCCTTTACTTGATCCTCGGAGCTCCTCTGACTTGCCTTCAGCTCTGTATCTCTGTTTGGATACTAACACCTTGCATGCCTGCTACACAACTGTTGCTTCTACTGCTCTTGCTGCACATCTCTCTTCAAGCTCTTTCAACCTGACATCTGTCCACATTACTCTAAACGTTCACCAGGTCCTTTATAACTCATGCACGGGACTCTATTCATAGCTTCTTAAACTGTCTCTCCTCTAATCTCTCTTCTGTTTAAGTTCTTTTGTGTATCTCAGTTGTAGTTGCCTGTTTTCACCTCTAACTGTGACTTTCCAATGGTTTCTCACCCTTTACTGATTAATATCCATGCATTCAACTTCCTCTACACACTAATGTCTAAGCTCTACAGTCAGAAAGATCTGGAGTTAAAAATCTATTCTTACACTTTGTTTATTTTGAAGTTCAGCTCTCCATTCCCTCAGATAGAAACAGTTTGATGCACCACTGTATAAGATAACTGTGACAATTAAATGAGACCGTATGTAATGTAGCAAAATGTCAAGAAGGAATTTTGACTTTCATGACAGCCTGCTCTCCTCCCCCATCCCGAGATTCTGTTTAGTTTCCTTGGGTGCATCCTGGCATCACGGCCTTTCAGATCTCTCCAGGTGATTCTGATTCTAAAGTGCAGCCTTGGTGGAGGCCACTGGGGAGATGGGGCCACTTAGTGCAGGAAGCAGCCTGGTCTTCTCAGTGAGGGGTCCATTTTCACTTTGGACTTTTGAGTAAGAGGTGATTCTTAATAACTAAAAGATGACTTAATGTTCCCGCCATCACCAAGGTACAGAAGATTTTTTTTTTCTGTGTGTGGGGGAAGGGAGGACAGGTGCAGTATCACCCCCAGGCAAAAACTAAGAACAACTCTGAGAGCAAGAGATCTCTGGGATGGGGGTGAGCAGGATGCCCTGAGCATGTGAAGGGACCAGAATTATCCTCTTGGACAGCCGGTCAATGTTCTCACCTATTTCTTAGTTGGAAGCTCTGGAGGCCCACGTAAATTCTTACTTTTGACCCCTTATTAATCAGTTATACCCAAGCATAAGGGCACCTGCATGTGGTTCCCAGGGCAGCTGGCAGGCTCAAGTCCTGCCCAGAGACTTCTTTATATAGCCCCAAAGTAGAGAGCCCTTTTGAGAACTTTCTATGTAGATTCCCTCACTAGGTATACACAATTTTGACTGGTTCAGGTGCCCAGAGTTTTGGTCTTAATAAGGCCAATTTCTGTCTGGATGGCCTGGAGAATGAAGCAGTTTACTAAATAATACTACTGAGTACTGCAAAGCCACACTAGATGCTTGCACACATGCTGTCTCCTTGGATATGCATGATATCCCTCCATGTAGGTATCATCATGCCCATTTTACAGATGCGGAATCTGAGCCTTGCAGAGGTTAAGCATGTCACCCATAGTCACTTAGCCTGTAAGCTGCAGACCTGGTCCCTCACTATGCTTCATATTCTTTCTGCTGCAGCTAAAGTGCGATCTAAGGTACTATATTATGCTAATACTTAGACCCTTTGAGACATTTTGCATAGGCTTTCTAGATCCTCAGAGTTGAAACTGTAGCCTGGGGATCAGCAGTGTGGGCATGACCTATTTGAACATAGGTTTTCAGGACCCATCCTAGACCTGTTGAATCAGAGTTTTTATTTTCACAAGATCTCATCCCACAAGCACCTTCATAATATAGGGGAGTTACGGGTTTCAGACCACTTATATAACTTTCATCTCACCGATTAATGATTACATGTGCAGGTGTGTGATGTAAACATGGGGAATTAACACTTGTTTAAGCCTGTAACAATAGAAATTTCGATCCATCCAGAGACATCCTCATTGATATAGGTTACAAATGTCAGTTTCTGACTAATAAACTCTTCTATATGCAGACAGCAAAGGAGACAAATGAAAAGAGACAGCGCCAGGAGCAGGCCCCCAGCAATTGTCTTCTGGCTCCAGCCTGGCCCCCGACCAGGCCTTCTCTACCTCCCTCTTGGTGGGGCCCAACAGACTTCTCAATTATGTGCTACCAGTGTTTGCCACTTTATTAATTAATGTGCGGTATGTAAAGCAGGAGCAGCATTGTGACTGGGCCTAATGCTATTATTTCCCTCATGGCCCCTTCCTCCTCTAGAGATAATCACTGTAATTTTGTCTAGAATATGCCCTGTGTTTGCTATGCATACCTCGTGGCAACTTCACAACAATCTCTTGAACCCATAAAAAATATCAGCCTGGAATTTAGGCTGGAGCTAGACAAAAGAGACTCAATGATATCAAATAATGTCCATTCTGCATGTAGCAACCCCCACGGTAGGAAAGGCTATGGAGGGGAAGTTCTACCTTCTGAAAGACAGCCGGAGACAAAACATTTGAGACAAAACCATTTGCGCTAGTGTGTATTTCCTATCACCACAAGGAAATGCTTTTTAATAACAGGTGTTCAAAATAGGATCTGTATGACTGCACTAACCTGCCACTCCTACAGGTAGTGAGGTGCTCTGAGTGTTGCCCACACTGCGGGTCAGCTAGCAGTGTCTGGAGACTAGAATTGGCATTACAGTCAGGGACATCCAAGCTCTGGATGGAGACGAAGCCTCCTTCCCAACCTGAAATGCTCCTGAAGGTCTGGTGAGAACTTGAAATTTTAAGTTTCTGGGTTTCAACGTGGTTTCCTACTAACTTTAGGTGAGAATACTGACTCACTGCAAAACCCAGTGATTTTGTACACCCTCTTATAATTCACCTGGAAAAAATAAATACCAACTCTCCAGCTATAAATAGTCTAATGAAAAATCAACCGACACAGCAAGAAGCTGGCTAGATACAGATTTTTGATAACAAGCAAATAAAATATGCTGGCAGATACCTGCAATTATGGAGACTTAAGAAATGTTGGATTCCCAGCCATGTAGAAAATTTAAAAGATGGAATACACCAACTCAGGTTTCTCCTACTTTAAGGGACATCACATTGAAATTAGTGGGTGCCAGCCCGGTATATCCATCTGCCCCGTTTGTAGAAACACAGTAGGATATGTGAATGTTTATGTAAACGTAGTTACTGAGATCTCTCACCAGTGAAGTCATGGAGTT